ATACATGTTAAGAAAAATATAATAATCAAGGATATCAAGAATATCCTGATCATTTTTCCAAGTAAACCAATAGGTCCAGGTTCACATTTTTGATAACTCTTACTGCATATATCATGTTCTAAAAGTTGAAGTAGTATAAGAGGAGAAATTAAATTATTTTACTTTCACAACACCATAATGGTTTAAAAGAATCTGGACATGGTTCTATACAAATTTTATGTAGCAATAAAATTAAGAAATAAATTTTTGTTTACCTTCATTATGAGAACAGTTGGAGTGTAGTTTCACTAATGTAAAAGAATTGAAGCATAAAACTACAAACAATAGTATTATTTGTGTAAGTAACATTTTTATAATTCTATTCGTATGTATCTTCACGAATATACTATGATCGATTTTTATATCAGGATTATGTATATTAATATGAATAATGACTCATTTCAAGTCGATTAACTAGATATTCGATGAAGAAAAAAAGAACAATGCAGTCGAATAATTATCAAATCAACACATTGTAATGCATACATAATACGTGATGATATGTTTTATCTAAAACAATATTTCTCTTCTTACGTTTTCGATTCTTTGCGATGATATATTTTATTAATATCATTGCATCATTGTTTTTCTTAGAATTATGTTATTCAGATTCATAAAAATATTCTATATGAGATTTGTGATTCTTAGAATAATTTCAATCACATTAATTGTATATTTTTCTACTAATAATGGTAAGATTATGCATTAAAATAATAATAATAAATAATTGTTTTCTCCTTAGTAAAACTTCTTAATACATATAGTTTTTACATTATATAAAAAAGATTTATATAAGATATCGGAAGAAGATTTGTTTAGAAATATCTTTTTGTAATGTAATCTTTAATGAAATTTTAAAATTGCAACCTAGTTTCAGATTCCAATAAACCGATTTTGAATAATTATTTGATAAAATTTTATTATAAATAAAGATGATTATATATTTATGGATGAAAATTTTAATTTAATATAGTAATTATTTCTTTTTTTATATTTGCCTTGTCGAAATCAAATCCGATTAATTCTTCTTTAATCATTGATGTTTAATGAAAAATTACCTGTTTTATTATATTTTTATAAAAACATTATCAGAAAGAGTTACTAAAGGTAAGTTGACAAAATAGATAGCATATTTTTTTACTATAATTTTACAATAAGAGTAAATGAGTACGTATTTACACATTAATTTGATTATTCTTAGTATTAGAATCTGATCTAATAGTACTTATAGAATTAATAATGAGATGATATAATCATAAAACAAAGAATTCTATCGCAATATTTGGATCATATAAATATGTTCTTCTTATATGAGAAAGACCATTTGATTATTATTTTAGGGTTTTGGAAGTAAATACTTTGATTTCATGATAAAGAAAACAATTTAAAAATAACATTCACTCACAAACAAACGACATGCCTTGACTAATTTGACATATGTTTTTATTCATAATCAAAATAATATGTCAGACACATAAGTTAGGTACATGTTATTACATATAAAATTAATGAATATTATAACTAATCTTTTATATAGATAAATAATTCCGTTCTTTCAAGTACGATATCACATTTATAGATTCTTTTAATTCTTTAATTTATTTTTTATTTTAATAAATTCATCATGAAATATTCATAATAGAAAACGTTAGTATAATTACAATAATCAATCTAAAACAAAAACAAAAAAAACATAATGAAACTTCTTCGAAAGATAAATATGATGAAAAGCATAATTATTATCTTTGATAATGAGACAGAAACTTTACTGCTTTTAGGAAAGACTATGTAATATTTGCTCAATTTTTGTATCAAAGACCATTAGTAGTTCAATTTTATATGGTCAGTCCTTAGAACAATTAACAATACATAGAGATGCATTGCAATCAGAACAAATATATCATGTATCATATCGAATATGAAAATCTCTTGTGATTGGTTTTATAATAGTAGTCATCTTTTTAGGGTCTGTACTTTGTCAAAACTCTTCTAATATACACCAGACGAATCTTTGTCAAATAATAGCATTATGGCGTATTTATAGATCTTCAGGGCTCAAAGAGTTAAAACAATTGTTCTTTATTTTATTTGCTAATTAAAAATCTAATAGGCTTTTCTACAAACTAATAAGAATTAATATTATGCTTCATATCATACGAAAAAAAACAAATGTAAGTGCGACATTGAAATCTCTTGTTGTAATCTATGAATAAATTTGTTGATGCGTATTATTACAAGTTTAGAAGAAATGTCTAGATATAAAGAATTTCTTGAGGAAATAGGTACGCTAAGTACATATGCCTAAATGAAGGAAGAGTTCAATGGAAATACGTCTTCATAAATTAAATAAAGAAAAACAAAACATAGGTAAATGATTAATATTATTTTAGTTTTATTCATATAAATATACAATTATAAAAACTATATAATGTAATTTAAATATGACTTTCCACAGATAACTGCGTAGTAATACTATTTTATTTCGCTTCATATCAATTTAAAAAAATTGTCCGTCAAACGATATTTTAAATTTGCACTGACGTTATTTCCGTAGCTTTCTTTATATTTTCCACGCAATTATTTTTGTTACTTTTCTAATTTCCTTCGAAATATTCGCTTTGTTTCATTGAAAGAATATTAATTAGTTTGATTAAGTATATCCTGGCGTGTCTTAGTTTAAAAACAAACTGTCAACTTCTTTTTTATAATGTATGACTATTACATTTTCAGAGTAAAAAAATATGAATACAACAACGCTCATAAATACGGATGATACGGCATTACTATTGAACATCTCACAAAAATTATATGGTTGGGGCAGTTTAATTATATTTTTAATTGGTACTTTTGGTAATATATTAGATATTATCTTATTTATTCATCTTGAAAGTCTTAACACATTAGCCAGTTCATTATTTCTTTTGGCATCATTTATTGGAAGTGAATTTGTTATGTTGACAGCAACTTTATTACGAACCATTTTTGGTTTAACAGGTTCCGATCCATTATTTGCTTCGTTATTTCTTTGTAAAGCTCGTTGGATGATAGGTCCAGCAAGTGGTGCTTTTGCACTCACTTGTGTCAGCTTGGCAGGTGTGGATCGATATATTTTAGCACGAACACAATATCAAACAAAGATTACATTAAATCAAGCTCGTTTAGTTATCATACTAGCTGCTATTTTTTGGTTAGGATTTTTCTCAATGTATGCAGTCTTTTACGTTGCACCAACACGAAATTCTTGTCAATTAATTGATACTCATATGATTCAATTAATGCCTTTTGTTAGTTTATTTGTTTACAGTATTATTCCCATAACAGTACTTTCACTTCTTTGTCGTCTCATTTGGCATGCTCTTGGTCAATTACCCATAACATATTTACATGGTGGTATTCGTTTACAAGATCAAGTAACACGTATGATTATTGCTCAAATATTTGTAATTGTTATTACAAGTTTACCTAGTGCTGTTTATTCTATTTATACAATTTCGACACGAACAATAAGCAAAAGTTCATGGCGTTTAGCAGTCGAAAATTTAATTAATACAATATGCGTTCTTATAGGTTTTCTTACACACGCAATTATGTTTTATATTTATTTAATTGCTTCACCTAGTTTTCATCAAAATGCAAAGAATATGTTTCATATTGCTTATAATCATATTATACCATTTATAAATCGAATACGTACTAATCGACAAGTGGTTTTTCCAGCAGTTTAATGAATAGTTAGAGATTTACTGTTAAATAATTAAAACTATGTATTTAAATTGACCGAGATGTCAACATAAACTATAAGATGATTGAACGGACAATTTAAAATTGATGTACTTGATGCTTAGCATGAACTTATATGGCTTTTTTCTTGTTTATATTTGTACGTTTTTTGTTGAATATAATTTAATTTTGTCGCAAGAGAGGACATAACAATATCAGTGCGTTCTCATCATCGATTGAAATTATTTGTTTCAATTTTATTTTTTATAGTTTTACACTAATATAATTAAATAAAAAACAAAAATAAAATAATATATTTCAGTCATAATAATTACTATATGTTCAACTATCCATAAAATTATATCATCAATGAATGTATTCAGAAGTTCTCGTTGTAGAACTTTGATATAGTAATATGTGGATTCGGATAACAATTTATTCTCACCCTTTGAAATATCTTCATGTCATATAGAATACTGCAATTTACCTAGATGCAGTTCATAAGAACTATGGTCTGTGTGATAGTATATTCCCTTTTGTTCTTCTTCTTGCATAGATATTTTCCTTTCTTTCCATTATCATAGCTTTTATGTTATTCTATGCGATATTCATCTTCGAGACTTCTTCCTTTTGTTGTCAACCTAAATGTAGTCGTTCATTTTATGCGATACGTGTGTGAATTATGAAATAGATAAATAAACTACAAATGCAATACGAATCTCAGAGTGAGTGCACATGTTATATTTATATCTGATTCATATTCTCAGATGAATTATGTAGCAGAAGAAGCATTCGATTTCTTTATTTATTGAAATTCAATGTTATTCAGATTGCTAAAAAATAACTTTCCATTTGTAAGATTAGAACTAATTGATATATATATATAAATACACAAACTTAGAATAATCTAGAAATAGTGATGGTGAGGTTAGTACTATTCGGTACGCTTTTTATATGTAGAGATAATAAAGAATGTTTTATTTTTTAGAAGTATCTGATCGTTCGTCGATTAATATCATAATGATAAAATTTCGATTTTCATACAAGTACGATCAGGTTAGTTAAAATTCTAAATTATAGAATGACTCCTGTATTGAATGTGGGGTAAGATAAAATTACAGTATCTTAGGTTGAATTGTTTCTGATAGAAATCAATAAGTAAATAAAAACCATCATATGTTAGTGGAAAACAAAATGAATTCAGGATTTGAATTTAGATGTCTCGTTTGTGTCGAATTGAAATCTAAAAATGACGCGAATTTTTATATTCTAAAGTTAATTCTATATATAATTTTAACAAGAATATTAAGCAAAACTTCAGGACATTTAATACTAGAAAAGTTTTGTTATCCATGTAACTATGTTCTATATTTATTTGAATACTTCACAACAATTCTTAGCAAAAATGTAAAACAATGTCTGATGATAATTAATTATGAAACAAATTTTAATAGAAATGAATTTACAACAATTTTTTTGAATAGAAATGATAAATTTAGTTAATTATATTCTATTATCATTCTATGAAAAAAAAAGATCATTGTCTTTTTATAAATTAGTTGTCATCTCATTCTATTTCCGCTTCAAAGTAAGTCAAAAATATATGTCTTGTCTGATCTTTGCATCTGTAGATCAGTTCAGCTCAAAGTCATCAGGCTTGGAATTACTTATCAATATAGTTGTATAAGTCATAGATTGGTGTCTGCTACACTATTGATCTATAAAGAATAGTCTTGTCTATCATTCAACGTTATTTTAATTAGATTGCCGGAAACTAATATAAAAATATTTGTTAATTATGCGTTTCATTATCGTGTCAAATATATTTTTTACTTTTGTCCCCCTCCATAACTTAAAGTCAAAAAAGTAAATGACATTTAATTTTTGATTTTTCTTATAATACTTGAGATGTTTGATATACTGACAATCTTGTTTTCCATATAAGCTGTCGTCATCATTCAAAAGAAAATCAAATTCGTAATATCAGCTTTCGAAGCGAGAAGGTAGAGTCCTCTTAACCTCTTTTTGACTTTATTATGAGTTCAATAAATGTCTTCTCAGACAATTTTTTTTCATGGAATCTTACCTAAAAATAATTAACATATCCTTTTTTGTTTTTGTTATAATTCACATTTCAGTAGGATGCACGATTGTGTGGCGCATGATTTCTCGTAAACTCCTTTGCCTTTTCTACTGATAAAAGTCAAATTACTAAAAAATTGCTTTGTTGTCAAAATTATCAGAGAGATAACACGTGATGAAATGTAAATGTTTAGGGTAATATTGAGTTTAATCATGTAAATGCATGATAATTGGAAAATGACATCTCTGAATCTATTTTAATCATATTGTTCAGTCTGTTAATGTAATTACAGTACCGATTAAGTTCACTCAGTCAGGATAAAATGTAACTAATTTAGCATTTCTTCATCTGATAAGGAAATTGAAGATGAAACATATTCAAGGGGTATTATTAACCAATTTGTAGAAACATGATACAAAAAAAATTGAATTATACTCGAAAACAAAGATTGTTTATGAAGAAACGATTCCTATCAATTCTATTGATGAGAAATAGTTTCATAGAAAATATAAGTTCTTTCTTATTTTTTTTCATTGTACGTTCATTAATCAGTAAAGTTGTACTAGTACATTATCAAGATTATAAATGCTCAGCTGGACAAGATCGGTAAAAGGCACGTTCCAAAGTGCGCATTTTAATAATTTTGCCTAACTAAGTGTATCTACCCATTCAACTATATCAGGTATTTTATGATATTTTATTTCTACATAAAAATTCTATTGTATATAATGACGAATAATAATATTTATTGTATTTTTTCAGAATTAGCTTTAAGTAAAGTAATGGCATGTGTGTGTTAACGAGGAATTAAGATGGAAAGAAAATATATGTGATGACGATCAACGGTGCGAACTGAAAAAAAGAAGAAGAAAAAAATAAAGAGAAATGTAAATATGGAAGATAATATTTATTAGAAGCATATTTCTAGTTCATTTCAAAGATTAAATCATCAGAAGGTAGTGTAACATTAACTTATCTGTAAGAGAAGATAATTCTCAGTAGCCTGAACAATTTTATTTTATTTAAAGAAATAAAGTCATATTGAACTTATGACAATGTATTTTTACGAATTAGAACAAGAGAGAAAATATTTTTCGATTAAGTGATTAAGATTTCATTATTTATTTATGTATTGCCATTCATTATTTGACTTTTTCCATTGACCATAAGAAATGAGATTTAGTCATTCATTTTGACTTTTGAATATAATTAAATATTTTCATAAAATCTACTTCTAAACTCATTGATATAGAGCAAATTTTACTCTCATATCTGTGTCTTTTGTTTTTGTTTATTTTGCAAAGATTACTCATAATTTATTCATATTTTAGAAGTAATACTATTTTTTTTTCTATATAAATTATAAAGAATAATATCATCATTTGTACGCTATAGAAACGTAAACAGATGTTAATGAGACAGCTATCAGTTCTTTTTCTTTTCTTTTAATAGTCATTAGAATTCATTAAGTATTATAAATTAAAGAGGTAATATTCCAAATGTCAAAAAAAATCTTTCTAGCAAGATCAATCATATGACAAGAACAATAAACGTATTGTCATTATTAATGCACGCTAAATTCAAAGAAAAGCATTTAAAGAATATAGATGAGAATAAGTTGAAGGTTATGAGCCCAATGACAAAGATTATTTTTGATTGCCAGAATTTATATTCAATATAATCATAGATTTCTTTTTAAAGCTCAGACAGTATTTTTCGCCTGTTGAACAGGTCAGGATACTTATAATATTATATATATTTGGAAAGGTTTTTAATAGAAAATATTAACCGATCTGGGTTCATACTTCCAGAACTTTTAAATATATTAATTAAGATTAAAAGAAAAGTTCTGAAGAACATTTTCAATGGAATACATCATATTAACCTATAGGTTGTAAAGAATTAAGTTTATGCATTAAGCTTTTTATATTAATTTGAAATTTTACTGTCAATGTTAGATATTTATATTTGTTAATTGAATTTTTAGAGACTGCAAAGCGATATGTTGCCGGCATCAAAAATTATTGGAGTTTCTAGTTGGTGTTTACTTTTTATTGCAATTGCAATATATTTAACAATATTTATAGTTGTAATTAAATCTCGACGAGAATTACGTGATATTTCAATGTTATTAACATGCAGTACTTGTTTATCTGCATTTTTAACAGCTTTCGCAGCCTGTGTAATGACTGGTTCAAATTTATCTACCGGATTTTTACTTAACAATAGGTCATTTTGTTATGCATGGGGTTTATTTTACGATATATTTGAATGCACAATTTATTTCAGTTATTGTTTACAAGGATTCTATCGTTTGTGTCGTGTTGTATTTTATAAAAAGAAATTTCTTTTATCTTATTCTTTATATATTATATTGATCATTGGTCAATGGTTATTAACATTAATTTTACTTTTACCACCAGTATTTGTTGGTTGGTATATACATATACCAACAGAGACATTTTGTCTTGTTCCTTATACATATATTGGTCCAGAAGTATATCATATACTTATTTTATACCTTATTCCAATAGTTAGTCTTACAATCGTTTATATTTGGATAACAACAGATATACGTCGAGTCTCTCAAACACCTAATCTTGCTGTTGCAGCAATTCAACGACAACGAAATCAACGAGATTTAACAGTTATCAAACGTATATTAGCTATAATGGGAATATTGATAGTATTACGGTTTCCAACAATTATTTTTATGGTCTATGGGATTATTGCTGGATCTTTATATCCATTGACATATGGAATTGTCGGAATTATAACAGCATTTTGTTTAATATTTATTGGAATTATTACAATTAAGACAACATCATACTTAGAAAAACAAGTTCTTGGTTATTTCTTTCCTCAAACTAATCGAGTACAAAGTGGACCAATGCCATTAAATCAAAGAAATATACCAGCAGCAATGTCTAATAATATGAACAGTCAAGTGTACAGAAAAGGAAATGCTCCTACAAAATAAAACATTCCATAGTTTTGCTTCTTTTAATTGTGAGTTTATAGTTTGAGTGGGATAGGCTAAATATTATTGAATATTATTTTCTGCTTATGTGTATTAGTATGTGTATTAAAAACTATTTTTACTACTGCCTCGTGAAAAGTAAATATTATTTTAATGTATTATTTTAATTGTAATAAATTAAATTAAATTACCCTACTATTATTTATTTTTTTGATGCATCTTAGATTTGACTGACGTCATACAGAAGAAATATGTTACTCATTTTTATTAAAAAAATATCGGCTAATATTCTTTCCGATACTAATTAGTTGTAAATTGCACATATAGACAATAATTGCCTAATGATAAAGATTACAATAATTATGTGCACTGTTTATTAATTTGATTCATTATTTCATTTTTACATATCGTTAGATAAAGATAAAACAAAGATTCTTATCAAGGTCCAAAATAAATGACGTGGCAACACACATTATCAAATGTTTTATACGTGTCGTTTCACTTTTATTCTTTTTATTTTTTGTGCTAGTAAGTAAACATGCATTATGTTAATAATATTTATATATTTATACTGTTTTTTTGACACATAAAGCTGTTCAAAGGAGTACTTCTAACATAAAATGTTACACTTGTTATAATGAATCATGTCCAAAACCATGGAATTCAAATAATGTCGACAAAATGACATCGCCAAGTGGTTGGTGCCTTGTAAATATCTCTAATACAACTTTGTATCGTATAGTATGTTGAGTTTGTTCTTCTATTTAGACTTTTAGTAGAGATAATCAAAGTGATGAATCTATTTATGCTCGGAATTCGGCAATACCGGGTGACTGTAAAGAAAATAAATGTGAATGGGTTACAAGCCCTAATAATAACACGTTTTATTCTTGTTGTTGTAATACCGATCTTTGTAATGGTTCAGCAAATGGACAAATAAAACTCATTAGTAATATTTGGATTGTCTTTATAATTTATTTTATAATCTTTATTCTAAAGAAATATCATATCTAATGTGTAAAATCTGATATCTTAATTCTTTTTGTAATTCATATATTCATTTTGAACTAATAATAAATATATTTCAAACAATAGAGCATTACTGCAACATATTGTTTTATTTAATAGAATCACAAATATTATCTTTTGTGACAAATAGGATGCAAAAAAATAAATGTAGTAAAAGTACGATTATATTATAAAAATAGTTATTTCAATAAAGAAAACTCATATGGCATAAGTTGATTAAATGAGAAAAAATTTTCTTGTTATTTTACATTCATTTTCAACAACAGTATGGAATCATTATATATATTAAAGAGTAAAAACATCGACATTTGAAAAAGACATGACTTTAGTTTAAGCTAGAGAAGCGGATTTTAACTGACGTTTAAAAATAAACAGTAAATCTAATTAGTCATATGTATGTCGCTGACAATCACGCCTCTCTTCTCCTAATTTAATCTTCAGATAAAACTGTCCTCTAGTATATATTTTATACTTTGGAATCCATTCTCTACCATATGATTTAACAATGTCATGCTAAGATCTTTTCAAAATTTATGGATTGAAAGAAAATAATTATGTATATCTCGTATAGGCTGAAAGAAGAGATATGCCTTTCAGTGACTGTAATGTATATAATGTTTACTAAGAGTGATTATTTAGAGTACATATGACACTGATCCATTTATTATGAAAAACAATCCATGGAAAAGCTACGTTGAGTATATTCTCAATTGCGGTACCTTGTCAAGGCAAATATATTGTTCTAAATACAAAAGATTCAAATATAAATAAGATAGTTTCATTTGAATCGATCAATTAGATAACATTATTTATTTCTATTTGTTATTAGAAAAAAAAGAAAATATGAATATTTCACTTCATAATGCATACGTGTATAAAATTGAAAAGTAATCTACTTATTAACCATGAAATTCTTAGTTGTATTTAGAAAACCCAGTTGTCCATATAACAAGACAAACAAGTTCATCAATCATTTATTTTTTTCAGAAAAAACAATATAGTGAAGCTTTCGACACCTTTCATAGGATCATTTCAACACTAAATTTTATAAAAACTTTCTTTCATAAAATTTAGTGTTGAAAGCTTCACTTGTATTGTTTTTTCTGAAAAAATAAATGATCAAAGTAATACTTGATTATATGAAATAACATTTTCTATTTGTGAATAGCATGTTTATAAGAGATAAAAGAGACAATTATTAGTGACATCTATATTCATTGTTAGAAGAGGTCTACTATTAAATATGGACTGGTTTTATCAGATGTTCCAACTCAAAATAGTATCATCAATCAGATTAAATTTACTTTTTCTTCATTAATATGATTCTTGATAATAATAATGAATAAAAATAATTATTAGTATACAATAATAAATGGTTCTATTAGAAATTTGGTTATCTAATCTTCACCAAACTTCGTATGTATATAAAATATTATTAATGTTTATTATTTTCATGTTTTATATAGAAATGTATAATATAGATATAGTAAATCTTATTTATGATAATATTTTAAAGAAGAATATTTATATGCTAATTAATAGTTTCAAAAGAAAAACAAATACGTTTTTAATCATTTCTTTTTTTTCTCTTTATTGACTTATCGTATTTGTCTAATATTGATGATACGTGTAATATGAGTCCAGCCATACAAAGTGTTTAATTCGAATATTTTTTTCTAAATTAAAAAGTAAAAGTTATGGTTTAATATGATAATTAAGATAATAGAAGTTTCACCTATGTCATAAAATTGAACATTGTCATGTGAATTGTTAATCTCACTAATTGAGATGAAAGCAGAGAAAATATCGCATAATTACAGTAAAACATAGTTGTAATTTTCTACTTATACTTTAATTCTTGATATAGATTTCATATCGTGTTCTTTTGACCTATAATTTCTGATTTTATCTAATTCTTTCGATATTTTAACTAAAATATTTTTTTATAGAAAATACTTCTATAATAAGTAGATTCAATTAAAACAAGAATAAACGATTAGAAAACTTCTAGTTTATTAGTGTTATATATCGAACAATTTTATATGAATGGCTTGAGAGTGATCATAATAACAAGAAACAAAAGTACCAATGTTCGATCCCAGGTCATGGAGAAAAAAACGTGTCATATGATGAAACTGCATTGGGCACTGAAAATAATGACGATTAGCTATTCGAAATCACCAACCTACCTTCTGATGACACAAATAAAATATCCCAAATCTACTCTGATATAATTATTCTTTTTAGATAAGATCTGATATATATTTTAATTAATCAAAATATGCAAGTCTGATAATAATAATAAATAATGTTTCGTTTATCAATTGAACGTTGGTTTTCTTGTCAATATCGTTATCGTTCAACAGTTTACATTAAATTTATTTTATGTTTAGTAATAATATATCTATTAAATTTAATTATTGGTGTACAATATTATCTATGGTCCGAAAGATCATTTGAGAATGAATATCGTTTAAAAATGACACATATTGATATTAGAAATATAGATGAAGAAAATCCAGAAAAAATCTTAGGTATACCAACAAATATTATTGCACATGAATTTATTATTAAAAATGAATATTTATGTCATGATGGAAATCAAACAACAACTAATCAACCACATTTACTTATTCTAGTTAAATCAGCTATTGAAAATTCGAAAGCACGACAAGCGATTCGAATGACATGGGCAAAAAAAGATTTTTTACAAACAAATTCTATTAAAGTAGCTTTTGTTGTTGGTAAGTTTTGATAAATATTAAAAAAAAAATAAATTTCAATCTTTCATATCTAAAGGTATTAGTAAATCAGAAAAAGATTCTCCAAGTAAGTTGTTATTCATTAAGCTACTGCATATTTATATTTATATTATTTTTAGATACAAACAAAAAGACGTTAAATGTGGAAAAAGAATCTCAACAATATAGTGATATTATTCAAATCGATAAATTAGATTTTTATTATCATAATTCATGTAAGTTTCATTTCAAACAAAAAAATATTATTTATTTTTAATATTCAGCTATGTCTAATTGAAATATTTCTATATAAACTAATGATTATGAATTTTTTAGATAAAATGGTAATGATGCTTCGTTGGATAAGCGAATATTGTTCATCAAAATTTTCTCAATACTCATATAATGATCTTCGAAAATATGTTTTATTTATTGATGATGATTATTATCTTGATTTAAATTCATTATTAACATATATAAATAAAGTTGATCAAGATTCTCATATGACAGTATATGAAAGACGAACATTTTTAACTGGTTATCTTTATAATTCTTCTCGTCCACGTCGATTTTTAAATGATCGTTGGTATATATCAATAGATGATTATCCATATGATCGTTATCCACCATATGTAACAGCTGGATGTTTTTTAATGACAAGATCTAATGCACGTCTGTTTTATTTAGCATCAAAATATATACATTTATTTCGTTTTGATGATATTTATATGGGTTTGTTAGCTTATTCAATGTCAATTAAATTAATTTCAAATAATGAATTATTTTCATCATATGGATCATCAATAATTTTACCAGATAATCAACCGGGAATTTTTTCAAGATTAAAAACATTTTTTTATAATAAAATCAATTTAAAATCAACAGTAAAACCTGTTTGTATTCATGGATATCGTGGCGAAGAATTAATTGATATTTGGAATCGTATTCATCACAGTAATCTTACTCTTCCATTGCTTAACTGATCTGAAAAACAGAATGTTATTTTTTTTTAATGTTATTGTCAGATGTGATTATTGCTTTGTCTATTAACAGTAATTGACTGAGAATAAAAAAGCGGTAAATATTTTATCAAAACAGTATCTCTTGTGCATCATGAGGGTGTGGGGAAGAGTGAGAATATGTAATCAATATATACTATCCATAGTTCCATTCGAATATAACAACAGCTCATTTGCAAAAAAAATTATTTTTCTGATTAAATTTTGATTTTGATAAAAAAATTTCAGTTTTTACGTTTACAATCATTATTGGCAAAAGCGAACGTAAATCTAGTGACATTGCTCGAATTTTAAAAATACAAAAGGATGCCATAGTAAGTTTAAAGTATTGTTGGTAATAAAGAATCAAATATGACTTGCATGATTTGACTTCTCTCTTGAAAATCGATCAATAATAACTGACATAATTTCCATTTTTTATTTAATACGGCACTTGCAAATCCAGTCAATCCACTATTGCCAATATCAGCCAAACTTTTCAATGATTTTGGTTTATGAGGTAGTAATGAATCAAAGATAGTGGATACTTGTGGTGTCAATGTCCAACTTAACTTGTATAGAGCAGAGGTAGGTAATGAAGGAAGAGAATTAAACTGAAGAACTTGCTGCCAATTATATAAAGTCATTTGAGGAAGTGAATCTGAGTTAGCATATGAATTGATCATACTGGAACCATACCAGAGTTGAGTATAGTTCATTATAGTAGTATCATCACTTAACGTAACTATCACTCGTTGATTTGTTGTAATCATATCACCAATGGTAGTAGCATTGAAATCATGAATACGTGGATATAATACTGGATTGAATATGTTAATGACCATATCTCTTAATAAATTCAAATTTGTTTGAGTTAGATTTTTACTAGCAAGATGTGATATTTCAATTACCATAATTTCATTTGGATGTAACAATAAGAATGAATTCAATGCAGTGAGATGAGTATAAATAGGTAGACCAAGTTCAAAATGATACGAACACCAATCTGTACCATTATAGGCAGCACGAATATCAAAATAGCGCATACCATCTTGTGCTTGTTCGTATAAACTTCTATTTTGTGCCATTGCCCATGGTGTAATCACATCCTGTAGTGGTATTCCTAATTTTTCTGCCACTTCTATAAAAGCATTAAATACTGGATTTCCAGTCGGATCAGGTGACAGAGCGGAAGTAAGAATAAAAGTTGCTGAATCATGTGTACCTGGCAAAGTTAAATTGAATAAATGAAGATGAGAAATATAAGGAAGAAGTTCTTCCATCCAAATACTAGTATTGATAGATGCTGAAGAAAGAAGTTTATGATTTTGTTCTATGTTGGTTCGATTATCATCTTGGAGGGGATAAAGTGAAACATACTGTGGATAATTATTTATCAGTAACAATGATAATATTAGTATTAAAAGATCAGCAATCATGTTAAACCTTAGAAAGTAACGAATGTTTATTAAGATGTTTACTAACTACTGTTATCAGATAATGTGTTTTTTTTTCTTCTCAACAGAGTATATCCACGTGACAAAGAACTTTTTATTATCTTTACCTGTGAAACACATTAATAATAGAAAAAGAGAACAATATAGTGTAGTTTATCATAGCCGATCAACAATGCAAAAAGATTATTAAAAGAAATTTTACAACTAATTTAAAACATACTGTTATATTGTATATTAATAACAAGAAAAGTTTATATATATACAGACTTGAATATCAAGGCTGAGAACAGATGAAAGTTAATTAATAATCAACAACATTAATTTAATGATTAATAGATTATGACAAATGATATTTTCTTAAATACTACTAGAAAATAAACGAAATCAATATATAGTGAATCTAGATGTATTTTATTAGAAATAAAATTATCAAATAATACAATAAGTGTGTAACTAAAGCTTAAGTTTTTTTTCAATCGTCTTCCAGAGGCGAAATTAAGTTTTCGACCAGATGTAGCCAACTATTATATCGTTTTGCTTCTTCTTGAAAGTACGACAACAGCTTTTTTCTTGCATTCGTGCATTTAATTGCTTCATCTTGAGCATCCTCACATCTACCAATAACTTGATCTTTTATCATTTTTAATCGTCTGTGGCACATGTTTTTTTCGCTGTTGTAATATTGTATCAATTCATCTTTTCGTTCGCGTTCGCACTCTTCTTCAGGGTGTGGGTGTGGGTGTGGGTGTGGGTGAGGGTAAGTGTGGGTGGGTGTGGGTGAGGGTAAGTGTGGGTGGGTGTGGGTG